TTTATCCCGGAAAAAATATACATTTCCCGAGGGGTAAATTTGTTTTTGTTTTTTTAGAGGCGAACTCGAGCGAAGAGAGGGTGAACTGCTAGTAAAAAATAATACCGTACAATTAGCGCTACTTACATATTACATAAATAAAGACGATTTTTTAAATTGCTTGTTCAATATTGTGTAAGGTAAAACCAATTTGTACAATATAGGCATCATTATGAATTAATTTCCTCCATTTTTTATGATACAAAAGGTATTTTCATTCTTATTAGGCAACATTGTCTTAAGCCGAATTCAATATCGCTTATATAACGCTCAATATTTGCTTAAGTAAATTCGTAGATAGTAATAATTTAAATATTCATGACAGTGAACAAACACACGGTGTACAAGCTCATACGAGTATGTTATGTACCAGCAAATTATAGTAACGTCAACTACGTTTTAATTGTATTCACTAATTTTATTTATTATCAGCGACCCATCCTCGTTTCCCTTCGTGTTCGTCCCTGGACAAAAACATATCTATTCCACGGGAACTGTACATTTTTATCTAATGAAAAGTAGCCCATGTGCTATTCCAGACTATAGTCTATCTCTGTGCCAAATATCATCCAAATCCGTTCTGGCGTAAAAAAGTAACAAACATCCATCCATCCTCTACTACCAGACTACTTTTTACCGCGGGAGATTATCTAATTTCCCAGAGGAAACACATTATAAACTTATAATATAACCCAAAAATTATTTTACCTATCATTTTCACACTTTCATCCCCTATTTTACCCACATAAGGAGGTAAAATAGGGGATGAAAGTTTGTATGAAACCTACTTTTTAGTTGTGTTGCAGTTTTAGCGCAAGCAAAGCCGTGGTTTCTGCTAGTTTAATATAAAAACATGTATGTATATTGTATAAAACTGTCTTAACCCCAAAACAAAACATATCAATTCTAAATCTGTACAAATATTTTTAACTTTAAGTCGACTTTATTCTCCAAAGCAATTGCAGTCCGTTCTGTGGAAATATCGAGGCAGTTATAATGTATCATTTTTATATTCAATATTCGGAGTTCGGCCAGTGAATCCTATGGATGGTTGCGGCGATAAAAGTGCGGACGTTTAAACAATTTATGAAGTACTTTGCGCATAATTTTAAGATCGCTCGGCCGTTATGTCTTCTTTGTAGTTTGGTTTTTTAATGATGTTTTACTGCTCTGCATAGTAGCCATTTATATTTTTTCTTTATATTATACTTTGAAATATCCTCAAATAACGCAGCAATGTAAAATTCTTGAGAAACCAACAGATTTTAGTTTAAGTAAGTATATTATAGACCTTGTATTTAATTTTACTTTTTTGTTGCGTCGACCAATATACACAACCTTAAGACTTTCTTTCTGATTACATAGGTGTCCAGGAAGAGATCTGAAACATGTATTTATAATTTTTTTATCCTTTTTAAATTGTATTCTTTTGGTGTAATAAAGGATTAAATAAATAAATAACTGTCTTCCTTGATAGATTGTAGTGTAGTGTAAATCTGCGCATATATATATATATATTTATATTTATATATATATAGCAAATATATATATATATATATATATATATATATTTATATATATATTCTTCTATTCATCATAATGTTATACGTAAAGGCGTCATTTTTTGTGTATTTTTAGAAGAAAGGTGCAATAAGCAATCATCGTTCAAATCTTCAATGAGTGCCGAAAAGAAAAAAACTAATGTGTTGTTAGATAAATTTTGCATACTTTATCAATACAAATGATTTAGCTTCTATATTATATTGCCTCTATTATTATTATTGACCTTTATTATTATTAAGCTTTTCTTTATACACTTTAAACACATTAAGTTTTAAATAAACCTATCTTATCGGATTTTTTCTCGGATTTATTTAGATTTTTGGGTTCCCGATGTTTCGAATGTTTTACATCAACCATGGTCGCGGGAGAGACCATGATTTTTAGAGGTTTTAGACGTCTCAAAGTTCGTCATCATACATATACTTGTTACACATTATTATACACAACTTGTAATCTGTACCCTACGAAAAAATCCGGAAAGATAGTAAGTAGTAAATCTAAGAAAACATTGATTTTTATTTTATTTTCCCGTCATTTTTGAGGTGGTGTCAAACTTTTGTCCTGCTGTGTATACATATATCTACTTAAAAATTTTGTATTTTTTCAATTAAGTTTTACGCTAAAAACACATTCAAGGAAACTGTTCATTACAGTCTGTATGAATTTCGACATCACCTTTCTTCACGAAGAGATATGAAAATTCCTTACATATGTTAAGGTAGCAGGTAAAGCGGTCAAATACAAAATGTCGCCAGGTGCCAAAAGCATCCGGCCCCGACTCAATGCTGACAAGTTTCCGATGTGCATGCAAATTACAAGCTGTCATAATTCATCCGAAAATGAATCCTGTAGTTTGGGATTAAAGATCACATTGCGGTGCAACGGGACAGCCCCACGTCGCGAGTGTCATACAAAACCTGACAGATGTTGACGCCGAGTTTGTACTGAGGTGTATTTTGTTTCAGCTTTACGTGTCCTCATTAAGAATAGGTATTGTACAGTCGAGAGGCATTTTGTTTCTTAACTTTAGTTACTTGTTATTATAATGTTGTTATTCCCCAAATATTGCTCTCAAAATTGAAATGTTCCGGAAAATTTATGTTACAAAGGAAAATTACGATTGTTCGTCATTTTTAGTAAACAAAGTTAGAAAATAACATTATAGAATTCTGACATTAGTTGTAATTCAGCCAAAATTCAGCAAAAAATAAATAAACCAATATTCGAACGAGCTACATATTAAATGAAAAATTACCATTTGTTTAAGCTCGAATCTTAAACCTAAACAAATAACGTAAGTATTAACAAAAGAGAACAATCGTGTAAAATTACTGCTCGCACAGCTTGATGTTTTAACTTTCATTTGGAGTTGCGGAGAACATATTTAGGTGCCGACAACTTTTAATTAATCAAGTCAAAAGTCACAAAACAGTATTCGAATAGCGCAGGCATAATGAGCGGGGCTTAGCGCGGGTGCCCAATGTCTTTCTGGACGGTGGCCAAGTTTTAATAAACCTCTAGTAAATTTAACACGTAGCTGAATAAGTAATCAAGAAAATAATGTTTCTCGTACGTTCCGCTTAATGTGACTTCGCTGCACTGTATAGTGTATACACTCATTTACAATTAAAAGTTTTCATTATTTAAGTACATCTGAACTGCGAGGGGACGTGGTGGTATTTAAAATTTATAAGGATATATGTATATTTAAAATCGCTTTCAGAAGTTTCGATTATTACAATACGTAAGTTATTTGTGGACTTTGCAGGTGAGAATGTAATATTATAAATTCATATAACTAGCGACTCGCTCTGGCTCCGCTCAGATTCGTTTCTAGGTACGTTTTAACAGTTAGTATAGATTTTTCAGAGATTAGGTATACCCGCAGTAAAAAAGGATCCTATATGTTGACCCGCATAACCAGCTATCATCATACCAAATTTAATTAAAGTCTATTCAGTGGTTTTCTCGTAATGCGTCCCCAGATAGACAGACACAAAAATTCTAAAAACTATAGAGTTGGCATCTATATTGATAATAATGACTATTTAAATAACATTTTCCAAAAAATAGTTAATGTACAGATTCGATTCAAGTTAGTTAGAATTTTATTATATGTATAGATTTGTCGCTTCCAGATCTTTCGATTAATACATTTTTTAAGTTATTTGCGGACTTTGCAGGTGAGAATATGGTAATATATATTCATATACATATATTACCGCACCTAATGCCAATTTAGTATTTGAAGTCATTAACTTTGTTATAGCTTTTAAAGTTCAAATTTATTTAATTTACTCCATTTGAAAGCTTTTTATAATAATGTTTATTTATTATTAGGTTTTAAACAATACTATACCTATAGCACATGCTCATGCACAGCGCTCATGCATGCCTATAGCACATGCACAGCAACACTATTAGTTATAAAAAAAATTAAAAGGTGGCGCTCCCTGTACTTATATGTTATTAGTATTACAAAAGTCACCTAAGTACAAAAGTCGCTAGTGTAAAATATTATTAACAAACTACTTTCTTCCCTTACTTTACTTGCATATGATATTATATGAGTAGATAATTGAAATGTTAGTGTAGAATGTAAGCTCTTTATCCCGAATTTCACTTAAATTGAGCCGTTATATTGTGAAGAAGTAATAAAGTAACTAGTTCCCGTAGTCAATTATAAGCTTACTTGTATAAAATACAGATGTAACTATTGTAGAAATAAAGTGTATCAAACTATTGTAAAAAAATATCATCTAACAAAACCCTTAATAAATTAGCCCTTTTAATGTCACGTTGCCAGGCACGGGCCTCCACTTAATATAAAGAGAATTAGGGTACAGTCCAACACGCTGGCCAAATGCGGATTAGTAGACTTTACACGTCTCTCGAAACCTAACTAGGTTCTTACAGACATGCAGTTCTCGATGTTTTATTTTTCAGTACTAACAATATTACAGCACAACTTACAGTTATTAAAGTGTTTGTCTGTCCGTCCATTTAAGCACGCCTCAGTGGACAATAACACAAATTTCAATGAGATATTTTAGTAGATACACGTCAGTAATAAACTGAATTGAAAAAGTATCTACGTCCCATTTCAATGGGTCGAATAGATTCAAAGGTGCCCTGAACCGAACTTCCTGTTTTTGCGTTGCCTATAGAAAGTATATAATATATTGGGAAATTATTAAAAATAAACATACGGGTAAAGTGGCAGACGGTAGTTAGTTTATAATTGCTTTACAATATTAACACAAAAAGCTATATAGAAAATGAAAATTATACATTAATTTTTATTCAAACTCGAATAAATATTTTATAACACTAAAACAAAAATTGCCAAAACTAAATTCCATCTAACTGTATTTATAGCGGTCGATGTGAATGCAGATATGCCGCTGCGTCCGCTAACTCTGACAACAAAAAATTTATTTGATCTAAAAAACATTTTACCGGAACGTGCTCCAAATTCGTGGCGGCCCATTCAAATGCGTGACGAGAAATTAATAGTTGGTTTAAACAACGCTAGATTAGAGTATCGAGTTCAGGACCAACACTCGAGCGAAATCGACGGGGCTCTGTTGCGACACGCCGAAGAGATGACGCTGTCAATTACCGAAACCTACACGATTCATTTGGCTACCACTGACATGTTACTGAAGAACTGTTTAGTTTCATGTGGAATTGCAATTTGATTATAGAAATGAACGAGCTATTACAGGTCTTTGTTAATGTTGTAAACTCAATAGTGTGTTTAACTCGTTCCTATTGTATGTAGCAACGGATTGATGTGATATTTACATAGATAAAGTTTAAAGGCTGAAAAGAGTAATAAATAAACGTAAATTAAGAATTTTAAATGAGGTTTTTTTGCAAAAATATAATAAAATAAAGAATATTACACTTAAAATACATAGAAGATAGATGACCAAAAACGAAATTCTTAGGTTTTACATATTAGTATATTTTGTATTTTTTCTCAAAAATGAGATATTTTCCCGCGGTAAAAAGTATCCTATATGTTGACCCAGATAACCAGCTATCACCATACTAAATTTCAACAAAATCCCTCCAGTGCTTTTTCTGTGATGCGGTAACAGACAGACAGACAGACAAAAATTCTAAAAATTATAGTTTCTGCCTCTGTACCGGTAATAATGTTTATTTCAATAAGATTTTCCAAAAAATATCTAATGTACAGATTCGGCTTAGTTACAATTTTCTTATAGGTATGAATAGATTATTCTCATCTAATCTAATATAAACGTAAATGCGTTGGTGAAATCTAATTAATCCCTCAATATAATTCCAAATATAACAGAATCTACTAAAAAAATTGTTTGTATAATAATAGTTTCATCAAAAGCAACTGAAGATTAGATAAGTTACAAAATAAAAAGCAAAACATTTTGACGATAAGTAGCTTAAATACCGATAGCTATCGATCGCTTGTATTTTAATCGACACAGATAATTAAAAAATACTTGAAACTTCGAGATCAAGGGAAAAAAGAGATTTTGAATGTTATATTATGTTATATATTATGAATATCATATTATATATAATGTTTGTTTGAAAAAAAAATATTATAGAATTAATATGGACTAAGTTAAAGGCTTTAAAATGCCAGAGGAGCAGAATTTGTTGGGCAAACGTCATGAAAAATGTATAATGAGTAATGACTGATTCTAATTCAAAATTAAATTATTAAAAAGCTTGGATCTACTTTATTGCATTTCACAAAACAGAGTCAGTAAAAAAATATCAAAATTTGGTGGTGGTATACAATAATCCTATATCGATATCTCATATCTTTGTTTACATCAAATAAGGATATTTCATTAAACGTACATTGTTTCCTCGGTTATTTTTTTCCCTGATCTAAAATCACTCAGATCTAATAAAATACTCTTAAATCAAATAAATATCATAACGCAATCTTTACTTAGTCCTTCTTATTAAAGTTTCGCTTTAGGGACGTCCTGTTAAAGCTCGCACACCATATTGATGTATGGTTACGATCGAGTTACATATCATAAATCATATTAAACTGTAAAAAAATATTAATTATAATAAAATAATAATTATTATATAAATATTATTTTATAGTAAATATTATATGTATAAAACATATTAAAAATTCAATTAATCTATACTAATATTATAAAGAGATAAAGTTTGTGAGTTTGTGAGGTTGTAGTTGTAATCTCTGGATCTACTGAACCGATTTAGATAAAATGTGGTAAAAAGATAGTTTGAGACCCTGAGAAGGGCTTAGGATATTTTACTAAGTATCCTATGTCTTTCCTTATGATTTCCAGGATAATTCCCGGAAATCATCCCTTCAGGGGAAGAAAATGGCTATGAATGTTTGTATGGGAGAATCAACCTAGGGACGAACCCGAATGAAGCGAGGGTGAGTTGCTAGTTTTTAAATAAAGTCACGAGAAAACATTAGTTAACTCTAACATAAGCATCTGTCTTCCGAACACGCTTCATACAATATTCTAATGAACAATGTCGATTGAAAATCTACAGCGAATTGAAAACGGCCACATGACAAACGTCAGCGAAACCGGAGTCGTTAGTTTGAAATAAATTGTGTCAGGTTTGCGTATCAAATAGCGTTTTGGTAGAATTTTGGGTACAGTTGAAAACAATAACCGTCGGCTCTGTCAGTCTGACAGCTGCGAGAAATGATTGAACTGAGAGAGTTTCGCAATTGCCAAATTACAGGGTGCTTTGTGATTCGCCGGAATTAAAATTCCTTTAGATAAAGTGATGTTGGTTATAAAAAAGAAAAAAAAAATCCTTTATTATAATGGTTTTTGGTAAACATTTTCGTGTTAAGAACTTGAAGTCCAAAATAATAATGTCGCATTCCAATTAACGATGTGTTCAAAAATTATGAACGTAAAATAATTGTATTGTCATGTACACTTGAAAAGACATATATATATATCTGATTAATTAATTTATTGTCTTCTAAATGTATATAAATATTAATGTGTATGTTGTTAGTGTGCTTTTCTAAATAAATAAAAAAAAACGTGCGAATATCGATAGTAAAGTAAAAATTATTGTAATTAGGATACATTACCTATCCAAAAGCACCTTTAGAGTAAAATGTCTGAAAAAAAAAAGAAATTTGATGTTAAAGAAAAGGTCTAAATATTAATTCGTTAAAAATATTATATATTAATTTTAGTATAATTAAAATATGTGATCAAATATACATACATATTATATACAGATATCACCTAATATATCTCTTCCCTCATATAATGTGGGTTCATATTGAGTATTTCATCGTATTACAGCGTAATTTTCATTAAGAAATCACAACAAATATGTTGTTAAAAAGCTAAAGTACATCGAGGGTACCAATTCTGTATAAGAGCAGTATTTTCATTGAAATACCATTCTACTCGATATATTTTTATGCACTTGTTAGCTGTGCCTGTGTGAGTTGATTGGACGTTTTAAAACGTGAGTAATGCAGTCAGTGGGTTAATAGCTCGATTCGACCAATAAACTGAATTTCAGGTGGATTGGTCGAATCAAAATATTTCAGGCTTCTGTTTGGAGAAAGTTAAAGCTGGGCCCATTAAACAAAAATAAAACGCAAATAAATTTGAATGAAAATTGTTGGTAAACTTTTTAATATTCTAGCATCATTTTGGTAAAATTAAAATGTACGCTGGTTTGATATAACTATACACTATTTAGTATTATAATAGGTAAACTTGATCCAGTGGTAAACGTGATCCGTGGAATACAATAATATATTAATAATGAGTCCAATCCTGCAGAGCAATAATTAATATTCCTATTAACAGCACAGAAGCTTATTACTCGTTTGAAATTGGTTTGGACATAAGTATACGAGTATAATGATGAAAAAAAAGTTGGTCGGTGTGGAGTTGTCGTGGGAGGTAGGAACGAAGTTCTTTCCCGGTATTTGCCATTGGCTCTTAAATTAGGTCGTAAAAATTGTAATTAGTATAATATTTTTGATATTGAACTTTATATTAATTGTAAACTATTACAAAAAACTGAGAACTACATACGAGTAGGTATATGAACTAGTTATACAGGGTCATTTTTAATTTACTGGGAATACTGGGAATATACTATTTACATCATAACAACAACATCTGTAACAAGAAAAAATAATATTTCTTAATTTTTTATTTTCATACAAAAATAAAAAAAAAATATTGCACCTTCTAAATGGCAAAGTTCTAGCATCTGGTCAAATTTAAATGAGTAAGGGCCGCTTTCTACATCCCTCCACCCCTCCCCCTCCAACGGTCACGCGCTTTCTTTTGCTAATGCTGGATTATTACCGTTTAGAAGGTGCAATAAAAAAAAATTTTTTTTGTAAAATTTACGTTTTTTTTTCTTACAGATGTTGTTGTTATGTGTCGATAGTATATTCCCAAAAGGTTTTCAGTAAATTAAAAATAACCCTGTATATTAGTACTGGAGTTACCTTCCGACTCTATCGTGAGACCAGCACAACTCGTATGTTAATATTGTTATTATATTGTTGCCAAGTTACATCGGTATGCCAACCAACTTGAAAGTGCTTGAAAAGTAGATCACTAATTTTGAACTGTTGAATAATACATTACCAACGGTACATAATATATTATTATGATATCTATACTAATATTATTACAGATATTCAATTAACCATGTTTGTTTGTTAAAAGTTTTTTTGCCTTAATTGCTGAGTAGGTTTAGATGAAATATGACGAAATGATCAAAAAATGACAAAGATTATAGTGACGGGCATAGGCTACTTCTTATCACTGCCCCGATTACAATTTGAACGAACTATGTGCATAAACTAATTTACACTCCATAACAAATATCCTCGAATTACACGAACGAAAACTGTCCAAAGCATTAATAACGTGATCCAACGATTGATTGTATTCAAATGAAAGTAAAGTGCACTCGGAAGTGTCGTAGCAACATTAAATGTTTCCGAAATGCAGTAAAATATGCGCTTTAAACACAACTATCTTTTCGGATTTTTCGCGGATTTATTTTGAGTTTTGGTTCCCGACGTTTCGAATGCCTTATAGCAATCATGGTCACGGAGAGACTAAGGTTTTAGGCGTCTCAATGGCATTATATGGTTGTTACAGACAGCCTACCCACAAAATAATAAAATTAAATAAATAAAAAATTAAAAAATGGCACCAAAGTACCTTACAATATTTATTAATACAATTAATTTTAAACATTTCAATAATTTTAATAAGTTTTATAATAATTGAATATTGAATATTATTTTTGTATTTTTTGAATTTATTAAGTTATTTTGTGGGTAGGCTCTCTGCAACAACTACATATGTAATGCCTTCCCGTGACCATGATTGCTGTAAAGCATTCGAAACTTCGGGAACCAAAAATCAAAATAAATTCGCGAAAAAATCTGAAAAGATAGTTTTATTTAAAATGTCAAATATTCGCGTAAATCTAAGAAAATATAATGTTTACGCTATCGTCGTGCCGCCATTATGACATAGCATCCTCTTCTTTTATTCATTTATTCCATTTTTAAAATCCTATCATACGTCTCTTTTTACTATTAAAATATCATTTTACGCATACTCATCTCACATATACTACATACCTATATTATGTGTCTGTGGATCTATAGAATGAATAATTTCAA